CTGCGGAGGACATTATCAAGACCGTAAGGGAGATCCAATGACGAAGAACAATGTCACATACATGATCCAATGCAACAACGGCGACAAACGGCAAGGAAGCTCTCCGAAAGAATACATAAACACAAGCTCGTCACTAAAAGACAACGATCGATTCTCCCTCATCTCCGTACACAAATATCAGGAGGGGACATGATTTCAACTGGAGCGGCGTTCGCATACTGGCTCAAGCAAGAACAAAAAAAGAACGCGAATTTGTGGGAGCGTGGTACTCCATCGAAGAAGCCATCAACAAACATATAGAAATTCATCCTGTTTACCAGCCAGAGTGAGAGAATGCCAGAACCACAGAACTTTGAGCTGCAAAAGTAACCAGATGAGGAACTCATAAGGGAAGCAGCGAAAGCTCCATTCAGACGGACACATCAATTGGATTGGAGACGTCCAACCAAAGCACCAAATCAACCGGCGGACGCAGTGACACTAACCATAACGATGGAGTAAGTAAAGCGGTTCAAGCAACCAATCAAACTCGAGAACGCCAGACCACAACGCGATGCGAGTCAAGGCCAGAGAGGAACGCAGACCACAACTCAACAAAGATCACAAACAGGCTAATAGATTCACTGAATTCGGTACAGTCCAAGTAGCCAATCACGTCAGAACATAACAGATAGCCTTCGAATGCTATATAAACGCACGCAGACAACGAAGAAGTACCCACCCAACTGCGCAGTGATGTCTCCTCGTATGATGACGAAGCGTGTGCAAGCCAGTTGCCAAGCTTGGGAATCGGATCAACAGCCACCTAATCGACAACCAATAAACTCACCCGAGCTACCAATATTTCAACACAGAGGACGGCCTCTTTGCCAAACTCGTGGAGTACATGAGACGGACCGACCAAACTTGGCTGTCATCCTTTTTTCGCAAGACGACTATGTTAATCGAGCATTCGTTAACAGTGAGTCCATTCTGTCACTTTGGGTCAACCTCCCTGTGAGGATACAAGTGTGGTACTATGAATCAGTGTTTCCGAGGTTATCTACCAGAACCTGCCGCCAAATTGTTTCCCAGAAAATCATTACAGACCAATCACAGATTCTTTACCAGCTTGAAATTAACACCAAGCTGGGTAACTCAGAAGGCGGCATGAAAAATACAAGACGTCACTAATGAGTTACGAGAACCGTGTTAAATGGCAGCTCGCGTACAGCCATGTCACTTACACCTAACAATAATCTCGAACCACATCGGCTGTCGAACAATGTCACCAGTGTCGTCCTTTACTTGCTGCATGCAGCAGGGCGGGTAAACGAAAATACGGTACTGCTGACTCCTTTCTTATGATTTCACGTTTTTCTTGTAGCCAATCCACAGGTCCCAGCACTGGATCTGATTACTACGTTCGCCATTCATCACAACTGCAGCTTCTGTGCCCGACTTCAGCGACAAACTCAAACATTTCTCAATCCGTGTTCAAACTGCGAACAAATTACCCAGGTGTTCAGGTGATATTAGCACAACTTAAGACAACCAACTCAGTTTTGGTGGGGAACAATAGCTATCCACATGAGTGTATCAACAACAGACAATGAGAATAGCCGGGCCTGCAGACATGTTCCATCTAGCTACTTCGAACAATACTGATGAGCTAATAAAACGGCCGTAGCTCAAGCAGTGATGCAACTGCAACCTTAAAGTATTCTTGTGGTATGATTGGATTGATCTTTAACCCACCAAGTAATACACAATTCTCCCCTTCGATTCCCACTCCTCGATCCTTCAAAGGTACAATTCCAAAGAAACAGGATAAATGCTTTTTCGGCGGCTTTATGGAGTTGTTGACTGCGTGCTTGGCTCGGATATTTGATAGTTTTTTTTATACAGACCACAGTGAAGATATAAACCTTTACTCATTTGCAAAGGTAGTTTTATTCAGTGAATCACACAAGATCCGATTCAAATCAACTTTACGGCTGAGACGACCAATGATGACTGCAGGCTACATAAAAGAGCCTTAATCCACTGACTCATGCCTAGGAACATTTGAAATTCCTGTACGAAGGGAGTGATAATGGGACTTTCAGCACGGGGCATTTCAGAGGCACCCAAGAACACTCTTCGTTGCCTGCCTGATAAGGAACGGGTTGCTTCGATGGACGTGTGGTCCATCGACCAACAGCAGCACTGCCAATGTTATTTCGCTCCAATCACTTGATCGGAAATCGTCAGGAAAATATTGTGGTCAGCTACTGAGGTTTGCGTGGATGATGGCCGATAGCCACCTTCCTGACACAGGACTGAGGGGCACCACTAGCACATAGCTGTCTCGTTACGGGAGTGTAAGAACGCAGCCTGATAATCTACCCAGTGCTGAAAGGCACGTGCTCATAGGCACACCACATCAACTTAGTGGCCCTACATATAAGCTTCATCTGTATCCATATGCGAAAACCACTGCTAACAATACCTTTTCACTGCTAGGTGAGGCAGTAAGAACGGTGCACTCCGATTGCCTGACGAAAGTTTTCAAAGTTCTTGTTTCATAAGTTGATCGATGATGAGAAGGCTTGTTGGGGCCATCAACTCAAGCGCCAGAGAACACGGACTGGACAATTAATTGATCCACCTTTAGAGATACTTTCCTTGTGGTAAAATTACCCGGGTCAGCTGTTGCTGGGCCAGATTCGAACCGAAACCAAACTTGGAAGGCGGGAGCGTGTTATTAGGGCCAGTATATTGCAATGGATAATCTCACCTATACTCACCTAATGAGCCCCTATAAAGGCGAATAAACCCACATAATTAGGATCTTAAAAACCAGCCACATTTTTCGAGTCATCTTAGAACCCTATTTCCGACTTACACAGCTGATTCTAAACAACTGCAGAAACACGCTCACCTTTGAAGAATATCCTAACTACTGAAGTACTTCGAGATGTGGAGAAGCAGATTATTGGAACGTAGTGCTAAATGTGGAAATTTGGAAAACTAGAGTATCTGGATTAGTGTTACAGAGTGGAAGAGGTAACACCACAAGTTTAATGGCTACCTGGTGATCGTTGCCAGCGACAACTACATTATAAAGCGCAATTATGGTTGCGTTCTGCCACTAACTGCAAATGATGTGATACCACGTATGCTGTACAAAACTGGGAAAGGCGCGAGAACTATAGTGATAGGGAGAAACGTGCATGAACAGGGTAGTCGAACCGATGGCGCTAGAGGCTGAGTTCACTCGCCTATAATGCATAGTACACCCACAAGAAGTGCAAGCATGCGAGCTCATACAGGGTGCGGAAATGGGTGACAGAGAAAAGCAAGGAAATGACAGTGGACAGCCAGTTTAGGTGACAAGGAATGATCCTGAAAGCCTGGAGAGAAAGGCAACCCGATCACAGAAGCCGGGTAACTGAATTTGGAGATGGCTTGTTGAGAAACCAAAAGGCGGGACTCTCAAATTGATGATGATGGAGGTTGAACAGAGGATAAACTGGAAAAGGGGTTCTGTCGGACCATTGTTTACATTGAACCACAGGTGCTGTTTGATTAGCCAGCCAGTTGGTGAATGGTAATTTGATTAATCACAAGACTGGCTAACGTCAGTAATTCACAGCTGTTGAAAACGGGTTCAGTTCAGGAGACATCTAAAACGGAAATGTAAGACAATGAGATGCCCGTAGACAACATATAATCACGTTCGATCTCAAAGCTACTCAAGCAGCAAACGGATCTAAATGGGTTGCTCCTATATCAAAGGCGTAAGGTGTAAATAATGATGACAATTTCAAATGAACGAATTAGAGTACAGAGCACAATCTGCGTATAGCACCCAACCGACATTCAGGTGTTTACCCAAATAATCTAGACTGGAGATCAACAGCCCAACCAAAACACACCACAATACGAGTTCCCAAAACTTGCTAGTCTGGGGCTTAGAACTACTACGACCAGACCAATCACAGGCTTCAAACTGAGCTGTTACGCCTTAACTTAGTAACCGAAATGGAACTATCGAACGCTCACGTGGATTTAAAAGGATGCCATGATGCTTCCAACAGTACAGAAGGCTACTGCCTACAAGCTTAGTTTTCCAAAGTGCAAGTCATTACAATTCATAACCCACTACGAATAGGTGGGGAAATACGGCATTCATCAGTGCCACAACCAGGCTGAACAGCCCCGTGAATCGTGCAGCACTATCACCCCAGTCAATAAACAAGATAGATGGTTCGACAATTTTACCACAGTAATTTCCTACCAACGATTTGCACCGGTGTTGGGTACTTGGTAGCGGACGAACCTTAGTATCCTATGGAAACTTTACCAGAATATTGTGCAGCAGGGCTATCTGTAGAAAGCTCAGAAAGACCTAATCACGGCAGACGGGATGTCCCCGAAGGCGGATTCATCTGACCGACCTTCCAAGCCAAATCAACGTTACTCCAACGTCGTTAAAGTACGGTTCGAAAAACGATGCAGCTGAGCCCGGGCATTGCAACAGCTGGGAAGCACGGGGTTCTTCGTTCAATAAATCCCGCTCGGGTACTGCCAAGTTTTGCACTCTTGGACTGCCTTTCATAATCACGACTCTTCGATCAATCACAGCCATCGATTATGGAGTATGGTGAGGCAAATGATTCGATTATTCACGAAAGCCGGATGTGAGTCGGTTTCTCACTTTGTCGCATGCGACTAGCTTACTACGATGGTTCTTCCTCTTGGTGGCATGCGCCTGAAATCGAGTTCGAACTTGTTGAACAGAACGTTTCGGTAGCGTGGGAACGAAGTTGGCTACGTAGTGGGATAGACTACTGAAGGAAAATGTGGCGAACTCACCCCGCCATTGTCAGAGGGCCTGCAATATAATAGTGCATTTGATTACCCGACCTAAAGCTGCCACCTTGACGTGATGGTCGGGCTTGAGTGCTGCAGCGATCCCCACTACACTGGCTGGAACTTCGTTCCACAAGGTGCAACCATGCCAGGAAGCCCAAAGGGGAGCAGCCAGACCAAGAGCAGCGAGACCCCGCACTACGAGTAACCGTGGTACGAGGCGGTCTGGGGGTAAAGTCGTACTGTCCTCTGCGACAGGAGTGCGAACGCAGTAAGGTGTTCCCCCTGGCGACCAGGATGTCCATATTTATGGAAGCAGCGATACCGCCTTCCCCTGAGGAAGGACGGGTTAGGAAAGGTCGGCCCCAAAAACCGCACACTCCGATCGCCCAACGGTTGACAGTGACCGCCGGCGAATTATCCAATACGGTCGAAATACTTTTAAAACCAAAGAGCCCGGTGCTGCTCAAAAGGCACCTGCTGTGCGCAGCCGCATCAGGAATGAGACAGTAATGCCTTATTCCCTGCGCCCTCGGGTTAGGCCAACCCCCTGCAGCCGAGCAGGTCAGACTATTGAGTCATCGGCTCCGGGCAGGGTCCCCAAAGAAAACCCTACATTCTCCCACTGCCTCGTGGGTCAGACTTTTGAGTCAGAGGCTAGGGTCAGGGTCCCCGAACAAAACCCTACGTCATCCCACTGCCTTGTGGGTCAGACTTTTGAGTCAAAGGCTCAAGGTGGGGTACCTCAACCAAACCCCCTTCCTCGGCCTGGGCAACCGGGAAGTATCATTTGCCCGCGCAGTTCAGCGTCCACCGATGTCCCTTCCCAGTGCACAAGCAAACGTCGCTGGACCATTTGACTGTCAGTTATCTGACCGAAGGTCCTTATGCTCCTCGCTGCCTACAAAAAATAAACAATACCTTTCCAAATCCACGAGATCCTTTCTCTATAGGAGCTTTTAACGTCCGT